GGGGAGGTGGATATTGTTTGGAGGGAGAGTCCCCCTCCCTACAGGAAGCCGCAACCACGTGTCACGGGAGGGAAAATGGCTGCGGGTTCTGTTCGTAACCCGATCTGGCGTTCGCGAATGGAGGCAAAATTTTGCGAACGGAGCTGTTCGTGAACTGAATTGTTTGTGAACAGAAGCGTTCGTGAACCGAGGTACCACTATATTTAAATCTCTCATTGGTACAGAGGCATTTGAGCTTATGGTTGTGATAAAAATATATTTTCATTGCATTAATTGTAAAGTAATTGTCATATGTAGTATTTTCTATTCTAGTTCTATTTTCCAGTGCTTCCTTCTGAAAGAAAATTTAATATTTCATCTTCAGAGCCTTTTGAGTACACTCCAAAAAATGACTGCCAGGGGGTGCTGTATGATTGATCAGAACTGGACTGCTTTTCTGAGGATTAGATATATGCCCCCATTTTTATGATTGCACTTAAACTTTTCCCAGGGCCTCTAAGATGCTTTGAATGGCTATATTATCATGACCACAAAAGTATAATTGCTTTAATGCTGTTAATAAAATAAGAAGGGTGATCATTCATGATTTCTAATATTGTTAAATTTGTAATTAAATCTCTTCTGCCAGATTTCAGTATACTACAGATAAAATGAATCTGAATTGCATTTCTTAACATTCATTCAGTTCACTGGACTGAAGGTAGAGGGATACAGAAAAGTGTAGATTGTTCCAAGTAAAATTTTGGAAAATAGTGTTAGAAGGAAAAGATCAAGTATATAGAACAGATAGCAGTTGGAGGCTGCATTGGCAGAACCTTTCAGCTCAATCTGAGACAAAATCAGAGGTCACTGCCTTCCCTTCAAACCAAAATAAGGGTGTGTTGAACTCTTCTCTCTACTCGTGCCAGTCTTCCATTTTTTCCTCTCCATATAGATGGGTGCACTGTGTAAGAGAGCAAAGACTGGTTCACTTCACCTTTTTCCTGCAGTGCATGAAAATCTGCCTGGGGGCAGGGTGGGTACACAATGACAAATCCCAGTATAATGGCATCTGGAATAACAGAAATGGCATTCCAGCAGACAGCCAGTTTTCTCTTGAGTAGAGTGCAGAGAAGATGACGACTCCTCTCCAAATGAGTTAAGCGCTGTTTATTTGGCATACGAGGCTGGGAGCAATATTGCAAGAGAGCCAACAGTAGTAGGAATGCAACAGTGAATTTCTTGATCAACTCCCTGAGACAAGGTACTAGTTTATACAACTCCTCAACCTAAAACATGTTTCCCCTAGCAACCGCAGGCCGCATAACAAAGACATAGGGATAAAGTTCAAAGTTGCAACTGACCCCGATGCCAAATCTTTATATGTACTTAGGCAGTACTGTTATAGGACCTAGTAACTCTGCCCATAACATCAAGAGTTTACTCCCTTGCTCATCTTTCAGTGATACATATGCTAGCATTTGCTAGCAATGTCCTTCCTTTACATAGCACAGATAGTGTGCAAAAGAATAAATGAATATGAATTGGCACCAGAAATTGAAACTAGGGGAAAACATATAATCTTAGGACATACTCTGACTGATGTTAATTGGGCTTGAACAAGAGGATTTTGGAAGAAGATTGCAACATTATTCTGCTGAATTAATCAAGAAATAAAGTTCCATATCTTGTAGTGAAAGAGTGTGGTTTTATACCACTACAAAGAATTCATGTGATTGTGTTTATTTTTCACAAAAGAAAAAGGTAGTGACTTTCCAAATTTTTCTATTCATTATAGAATAAAGTGCTTGACTTATCTCAACAAAGCAGTCAGTGAATATCTGACTTTAAACAGCAGTTATCTTATCAAAATAATCATTCTTTGAAGATGGAATGATATCACTTTACTCATGGGGGAAGGGAATACTCTTAAAATCGTTTAGGTTTCAGGGTTTATAGATACTTCATATTTATGACTATTGCTGAAAATTTTATAAGATTGCAATGTGGTTTGATTGCTTGGGAAAATAGGGAATTTTATAGGGAGTAGTTAGTCATGTAAATTAAAAACCTTACGTTTGTCCCAATTCAGGGAAATGGCATTTTAAGAGGTTTATTAACACCACTAGATGCTGACAGCTTCAGAAAAACTAACCACGGTTGTTCACCTAGATATTTGTAAGAAAAAAACCCACTGAGATAAAAGATCAAAACACACTTTTATTCAATAATAAGAGTTTGGAAAGTCACCACTGATCTCAAGGCAGCACCTGATGACGCATGATGACATATGTTAAGAACCTAGCAAAGGTGGGTCTCTTCACTGTCTAAGTGGTAGACTGCTTAGGGTTCCTAGCTATATTTCTTTGTTTTTTGATAGGAGAGAAATACTTGAGAAACAGTAAATAGTTACAGTGGCATATACGCATGACAACTTGAGTCTGGGAAGGGCTTCTCTAAAGAGGGCAAGATAGCAATTCAGATCCTTGAGAGTTGGCGGGCATTCTTGTATTTAGTGGAAGCAACAATTTCTAAATGGTCTCATTTATCAGAATGCAACACCCAAATAAATGGCCATAATTAGAGCTGGAAGGATTACTAGAGAACATCCATATAATGTTTGTGAACATCCATATAACCTGTCAGTGTATGAAGGCTGGAGAAGAAGAATTCAGAGTCTTGCTAACCAGCTTATTTCATTGCATTTGTGATTGACCCTGTATTTATTTTCTGCTTAATTTACTTTTACTTTCTTGAATATATCAAGTGTGTCACTATTAATGCCCTAATTTTATGGAATTACATCTATCAGGATCACACATTTCTTCCTCTTCTTGGTTTCTTTTTCTGATTGCCTGAAGGCAATGTCCCTTTCAGTTAAAATTATGTAGGATTGTATTGCTAGTTAGATTATTATTTATAATTATTATGTTGTTATTTAGAATAATAGACAAATGCTGGATATAAGCCTGAGTTTGTTGGGTGAAAGTCAGAAGAGTTGCATTTAATAAAGTTATTGATAAATATCATTCTTCAGAAATATAAATGCTGTTAAATATTTTACAGGACTTAGTTTAGCAGCTTTTAAAAGGAACAAGAGGAAACTAGAACTGGCTGAAAAGGTAGAAACAAATCTTTTTCAGCTGAAGAAAAGACGACAAACAAGTGAAAAGGTCAGTTCCTATGGAGAAAGACATGGGTCATTCTTAATAGTACTTCAACAAAGTTCAAAGTTTCAGTATTCTGAAACCAATATACTAAAGTGTATATGTGTGTACTTATGCATGTGGCTTTTTTGATACACTAGAGCAGACCTGCACAACTTGGCAGTAGGTAAGGGCCGAAATTAAATAGGCTAAACTTCTTCGGGCCGCAGATAGGTTTTTAGTGCCTCACTTTCCAAGTAAAGTTATAATAATGGGATAATAA